CGCCGGGAGAAAGAGCCGCCGTATCGCCGCCATGGCCATGTCGTCGCCAAGCAGCCCCGCAGTGCCCCGCAGCCCAGCCATTCAGACGCCAACGCGAAAGTGAGGAACGGCCAGCAGCCGCACTGATAAGGCAAGGCGCTTTGGCGCCGCCGCTGACAGTGTACCTCACTGGCTTGACTGGTGCGTTTGGCTGTCCGACTGACTGACTGCCAGTGTGCCGCCGGTGCCGCTGTTGCCATAGAGACACGCGCGCCAATTGATGCGGGAGCGCCATCTCTCTTTCTTTCTTTCTCTCAACAGCCACCTGTCTCTCTCTCTCTTTTCTTCCCGTCCTGCCTTTTATACCTCTCCCCATTACCCGGTCCCGCGACCCTGTTCCGTTCCTCCGCGGCGCGCACGCGGGCCCCGCCACGCGTTACGTCAGAAACCGTACTTAAACTTCTTTTTTTAAAAAAGGGGAAAAGTGCTTCCCCTTGGCGACCCGGTCTATAAATGTGCAGGCCGCCGAACGCGGAAAGAGGCAAGGAAAGCGAGAGGGTCGGCGTGTTAGCGCGGTGGCGTCCCTCGCAAACGCAACGTCGTGGCGGCCCGCTAACAGTGGTGCGTCCCAACGCGGCGGCGTGCTAAGTGACGCGGCGCGATCGCGAGCTTGCAGTGTCGCCGCCGGTCGCCGCAGGAAGAAGGTTTTTTTGCGGTCTTTCCCCCGATCTAGGCTCGCTGCAATCTCGCACTACTTTCCGAGCCGGCTCGAAAATATACATATTATGTTTGGAGGGGGCACTTGAGGTGGGGCAGTGGGCGGCCACGGCGTCGGGGATGGTGATGGCGGGTCGCGCTGCTTTCACACTCGATGAAAGCGAATCTGCGACGCCGCGCCTCGCCGAGTCGGCCTGGACCCCGGACCGCTGCCGCCGCGTCGCTCGGGGCGTCCGGAGCGGGGCCGGCGCCGCCAGCAGCACTCCGCTGGGTGACGCGGGACGCGGACTCTCGACAAGTTGCACGCGTGTTATGATCCGGCCGCCGAGTCCGCGGCCAACGACCGGGGAGCCGCGTCCGTCTCGTCCGTCCTGGACGCCGTCCTGGACGCCGTCCTGGACGCAGGCCTTTACGGTTATGGCGCTCGTCTCCTGCACCGTGCTGCCTCGCTGTGTCTCCCTCGCACCCCTACGGGCCGCCCCGCGAGAGTGAGAGAGACAGAGCGACGAGAGCGCACTGCACGGCCCGGTGCGCGGAGCCGCGGAGCACGGCCATTAGCCCGTTAGGCTCGCGAAACGGCGGGGCGGGCAGCAGCGCGGCCACCGGGACGGCCGTCGTCCACCTTGACGCGCTCCACGGGCACGTGGGCGCACCGCCGCCCCGCTGGCGGCTGGGTGCTGCCACGCCTGCTACGTGAGGACGCACTCCAGCGGCAGCTCCAGCCAATCCAGCGCGAGGCACGGCTGCACCTGCGCCGCCGGCCGTTGGCCGCTGGAGTGGCTGGACCCGGCTGGACCGCCACCGGACGAGCACGAGCACGGCGGCCGAAGCCAAAAGAAAGTGAAATGCCGGGCCGGGCCGGGCCGGGCCGGGCCGGGCCGGGCCGGACGGGGACGGGGCGGCAACACGAAAGACGGAGAAAGAACCTCGTGTGGCTGCCGCGCTGCCGGTCGACGGCTGCCGGCCCGGGTTGGCGAGGCCCGAACATTAATCGAATCCCTCTCCGCTCGATCAGCCGCTCTATCCTTTCTCTAGGGCTGCCTTCTCTCTCTCGCTAGGCGGCCCGCAGGTGGATGTGTGTGGGCGGGGGACCCCCTCCGCCATCCGTAACCATGGTAACCAACCGGACCGGTGCGCGAGGTGCCCGGTGCGAGGCGCGGGCCGGGCGGGAGGCGGGCAGGAGGTGGGCGGGTCCCTTTCCCTTTCACATTCCGGCGATCCTCGCAGTGTGGTGGGCCGGCCGGCCGGGCCGCGGCCCAGTGCGGCGTGTGCCTAACGAGGACCTGCATCAAGCACACACTCACTCACACACACACACTCACACGAGGACGGCGTTTTTGTGGTTGGCCCGTCCAGTTACCAAAGTAAACGACCTACGCACCTGTTGCACGCACAGGGAAAAGAATACGATTGGAGGACACAAACCTCAATTTCATCATTTCAAAAACAATTAATTCACGGAATTTTCTGGTTAAAAAATATAAAACCAATTTTTAAATATTTTGAGACACGCGTCATTTTTGCCGCGCTGTTCTTTGGATGGTCTACGCGCGCGTCGTGGTGCTCGGTGGTGCCCGTGCCGCCGCATGGTCGCACCCGAGGTGTGGAATTAAAATTCAATTGGCTGTGGGCGATGCGAGGCGATGCGATGATCGGACAATTGGCTTTGTGCTAGCTACGCGCGGGGCTGGTGGCTGCGGGGCTGGGGTTGTGCAACTTTGGCGCGCTGGCGCGGGTCTGCGGGGAGGGAGACGGAGGGAGAGGGAGGCTGGGGCCGGGCCGGGGCTCCGCTTTGTAGCACCTTGTAAGCAGCGCGCGGGGACGGCACGGCACGGGACGGACACGTCTTGGACGCGTGTTCGGAATGCCGAGTGCCGAGGCGCCACACACGCGGTGCGCGGTGCGCGGCGCGCGCTGGCCGTGAACTTTAGGCCAAAGAAGCCCCTCTCCTGGCAGGGAAAGAAAAAAAAGCAGCGGCGGACATGCAATGGGGACGCAGTGCGTGCGACTGTCACCCATGCAACGCCCCACCGGGCACCGCGAGCACGGCACCGCACTGCAAGTGCATGCGGGTGCAGCCGCTTTCTCCGCGCGTCGACACAGTACGCCCCCGCGGCCCCCGCGACCCTCGCCCCGCGACGACGGCGTCCTCCGATCCGGCGACTGCAGACTGATTCCGGGAGTCGCTTTCGTCGCTCTGTCTCTCTCGCGAGCTTGGGGCGGCCCGCATGGGTGCGAGAGAAACAGAGTGCCTCTCGGAATCAGCCTGCTGACAGTGCACGCGCGAAGTACGGCCGGCCCGACCGCGCGTCCCTGATCCTCGTTGTCCTCATCGGCGACCGGGCCGACGCGACGGGGCGTGCCTGCGGCGGGGCGGGGCTGCGCGGCGGCGGTGCTGATGAGCGCGGCGATGACGGCGTTGACCGCGGCACGAGGCCGCCACCGGCCCACCACCAACAGGCACTACGTGGCCGTGATCACGCCGCGGTCAGCGCCATCCAGCCATCAGGGGATCAGTGGCGCTGCTGATTGATTATGCACAAACAAGGCGCTACTGCGGCCATAACGCGGACGGGACGGACGGACAGACAGACAGACCGAGTCGCTCTCTCCGTCATTCATCACACACGGTGCCACAGTGCCGGTGCCGCCGGCCCGAAGGACGCGTAAGGGCTTAACAGGTGCTCTGAATGAGGCGCGGCCGTCACGGCTCACACCGAACCAGCACCGCGCTGCACGTCAGTGACGCCCGCAGGGCCCCTGTCAAGCTCCTCGCGCAGGCCCGTTGCGCACCGCTGCGCCGCGGGCTGGCCTACCCGGCACGGCGCTCTGGGCTGCACGGTCGTTTCGTCGCCCTGTCTCTCTTGCACTCGTGGAGCGTCCCACAAGGGTGCGAGAGAGACAGCGCGGCGACTGCGCTGCTCGCCGGCCGCGGACGCGCCTGGGTTACTGCAGTATTATGCCCGTCCGCGCGGCGTCGGCGTCCGCCAGCGTGGCGCTATTGGAAAACGAAATCGGTCGAAAGCGAATGAATAACAGCAAACGGCGAACGGTGGCTGGCTGAAGGCTGGCTGCCTGGCCGCCGCATGCACGCCGAGGGCTTTCTTCTCCTTTTCCGTCGCGGCAACAGGCGGCGGGCGGCGGGGCCCTGCACTGCCGCCCTGCACCGCCCTGCACCGCAACAACGAGTGCTACACTGCCGCATGCAGAAAAGCGGCCGGGTTACGGGCCGCGCCTCGCCGCCTCGCCACCTCGCCGACGACGTGACGGCTGCCGGCATGGACTTCCGGCCTGCCGAGCGCCGCGCGTCCTCGCGTCGTTTTGTGCCGAACGGAAAGCGTTTCTGCCGAACCGCGGACTCACACTGTCGCTGTGACTATCCCCGAGGGATGAAAAGCGCTTCCGGACCGCGTGTGGTTTCGGTTTCGTCGCCTCCATCTCTCTCTCGTACTCGTGGGGCGGGCCTTGGTGTGCGAGAGAGACGGAGCGACGAATCGCTCCGCAGCCCCACTTTCCCGCGCCAGTATTGGCACGACGTGTCCATCCCATCCCTAATTAGGCCATTGGCTGCCGATGGCGGCCGATGGCGTCCGATTGGCCGCACCGCCTTCGCGCTTCTCGCTCCGCGGCAGGAAAGTTTGAAGGCGGCGCTGCCCGCCATCGGCAGACTAATTAGGCGATGCTGCACTCGCTGCACTCGGTGACTGCGAATAACGCAATCACTGCTGCCGCGCTGCCGCGATGCCGCGGGGCACTCCCCAGCGCGGTGGCGCGAAAGCCAACTGACGCGATGGCGGCAATCTCGAATGACCGCGGAGACAGACAAGCCAAGCAGCAAGCAGCCCCACGGCGGCTTCGTTCTCACATCCCCGAATCCGATTTGGCGCGAGTTCGGCGAGGCCGGGCCGCCTGGGGCGCGAAGCGCGGAGCGGCAAGCAGCGCGGTCCTCTCCTCTTCCTGTTGCCTCACCCTGTAGGATTGCGCGCTGCGCTCGGTGGCGGCGCGGCGCCCAGGCGGCCCAGGCCCAGGCGCCCTACCGATGGCCCTTCTGGTCCTTCCCTCCCTCCGCGATAACAATGGCTGGACCACCTGCGGAAGCGGCAAGCAGCCGACACCGCGCAGCACCGCGCACAGCGTGGCACACCGACAACAATGGGCCTCGGATTACAACTAAATCTACTCAGCGCACACAGCGTGCCGCCGTGCCGCCCGCGGGCCGCCGCCGCCAGCTGTTGTCCATTGCATTGCCTGCAGGTCGCCGGGTTGCCGAGGCTGACGACTGACGACTCGCTTCGCTGTTGCAGGGCCACCACCCCCAGACGGTGTACACGCTGACGCAGCCGCCATCGCCGGGGCCGCCCTTCATGGCGCCCACCTACCCGGGCGGCGTGCCGGCCGTGCCCTACTACTCGCACTACATGAACCCCGTGGCGGGCCACCCCCGCGCGCGCCCGCACCGCCAGCACCGCGCCCAGCAGCGCCACCACCACGTGAGTACACTGGAGTGGCGAGGAAGAGGGCGCCAGCGTTTCGCGCCGGACTCTTTGTTGTTGTTGTGGGGGCTGCCCGTCGAGACACGCGCGCGTTACTGTGCCGTGACGCGGCGCCGTGGCTACCGGCAGCTAAGCGCGCGGCGCTGCCCGATGGGTTGCCTACCCTCGGGCGCCCCCTGACCGCCATTGGCCTTCCCTGTTGCAGCTGCCGACGCTGCCGTCGGACGAGCGGCTGCGCCGCGACCGGGAGCGCCGCCACCACCGCGACAGGCCGGCCCAGGGCAGCAAGCAGGCCAAGCCCCCCAAACCCAAGCCCGTGACGGAGGCCGACGTGGCCAGGACGTACACGGGGCTGGACAGGCGCATCGCCGAGGAGTTCATCATGGCCATGGACCGGCCCAGGCAGCGCGAGCCCCGCGACGACGACGAGCCGGCCACCAGGGTGGACTGAGTCACCGAGTCGGCGCCCAGCAGTGCCGAGCGAGCCGAAAAGACTTTCTTTTTAAAGTGAAAACAGTGACGGCGAAATTTGAATGGAGTCATGGACCATGTAATGTCGGTAACCGAGGCCAGTTTGATCCCCGAAAGGGCTTTATTGCAACCGTGAGACCATGAGGTGGGCAGATGCGCGGCATTACATGCTCCATGACCTCAGGTCAAATATTTGTTCATATCACAAAAGAAAGCAAAGAGTCCCAACACTATTTTAGATTTTAATAATAAGACTGTCCAGTATATTTAAATTATTCAAAGCGAGTGGTTTTAAAGTCGCAAAGGGAAAAACCAGTATCATTATTTTTAATGCGTTTTGTGTGCCATGTTCATGGAAGAGGATAAAAATGTTTCTCTGTTGTATTTGAGCAGCTCTAATTTCACACATTTCCTTGCCATAAGAATCAGCCCTTTCTTGTTAGTTCCCTTCTGCTATGTGAGGCTCTTAGGAACTTGATCTTCCATTGTGTAACATAAACACAAAGTAATGTTTCATCTGTGTCTTTCCTTGTCTATTTAAAATAATATTTTTGTGATACAATTTACTTTTGATGGTATACTTTTTCTTTCAGACCTTATAATGTTCCAACATCAGCTCAACTTCTATTTTGAATTTTCTACCAAGTTATTTATGATTACATGTAAATAAATAAATCTAGCATATAACTTGTGAACAGTACCAAACATAACGCTCAAAAATTGTGAGGTACAACTTCACTCTCTTGTATGATATGTAAAATAAAAGCAAGACAAGACAATAACTGATTTTTAAAAAAATAATTGGACATGTAAACTTGAAACATATGGTACTTGAATCAAGGTGCCTTTTGTAGTTCAAATAAGTGATGAACTGAATGTATTTTTCTTTTTATTAACGGTGTTTACAGAAACTGTTGATACTACAAATGATGGTTTATATCCAGAATGCACACAGCTGATGTATGTACAATATGTAACATACTTTTGTAAAGATAAAACTTGTAATAATAAAATCTTATTTCATACAAAAGAAGGAGGTTTCTCCCTAAATCAATACATATTCAATAATCAACACAACAAGATTGTTAAGACACTAGTACACTTAAAACCATTTTCCATAGGCACACATTATGATCCAATAAGGAGACCTGAAGAGTGAGAATAACAACTATCACAGAATTCTCACTCTTGATTCTCCTAAAAACAATCACAGACATTCCAGTGCACTGATCCTTATGAGCACATTTACAAATTTATAAAAAGATAAACTTCAGATTGACTTAAGTATTTTTTTTTCTAAAAAGAAAATCAATAGATTTACCACTGGAAACAATGTTACCTTCTTAAAAGTCGTCATCACTGTGGTCATAATGGCGATCAGGTGGTTTCCGAGCATGACCTGTCCGTGCTCTTATGCCCCCATCCACTGTAGCTGCTGGGTCCATTTCTAGTTCGTCATTCTCATCATCATCTTCGCTGCCTAGAAGCTCAGAGCCATCCAAGAGAAGATCGCTGTCAGAATCTAGACTCCCGCTGTCCCCATCTAATTTATTTCCAGTCATACTTCCAAACACACGAGTGCCATTTCTTCTTCCTGTCACTGGCCTTGCGGCTGCAAAAAAGGAAATTTCTAGTTGTTGATGGAAAAATAAAATTGAAAGCACACTTGTCTTTAGAAGAAAGATCTTTGTCTTACCACTAGCACGAACCCCTGCTCGATCTGCTTGAGCAGGACGTTTTGTCACAGCAAATTTGGATAGATCATCACCATTTTGAGTGATAATACCATCATCACCAGCACCAATTTTCTGGTTTGAAAATAGATCTCCAGAACCCTCAATCAGCTTCATAGATTCATCATCCATTTTCAGTTGTTCCAACAATTTCTTAGTTGCAGCCTATTTCATATTAAAAGTTCCATTAGACTCAGTAAAATAGCAAACCATAAATTTTAGAGTAAAATAAGTTCTACTGACTTGGCGTTCTTCGATTCTTTCTTGTTCAGCTTGCTCAGCAGCTTCATACTGCTGCTCTAAGTAGGTCATGCAACGGAATCGTAGAACATATGATTCATACAATTGTCTTAGCTCGGCTTCAAGCCTTTCAAATTCCTCCATGAAAGCTGGTCTGAAAGCAACAATCTATCCATTAGCACAAAAAATCTCGCCAGAAGAAAGAAAAGGGACAAAAGAACAGATGCATTGTATCTGTGTACTTACCTGACTTTTTTCAAAGTCTGTAGTCGTTTCTGATTCCTTTCAAGTTCCAATTTTCTCTTTTCAATTTTGCTGTCAAGGCTACTTTCCGTGGCAGACACATTCTCCATTTTCAATTTTGTTTCCCCTATTTCATTGCGCACAGCTTGCAGAGCTTGATGCAAACCCGATTCCACTTGATTAATCTCTATTTGTCTACCAACACTACTGTTTCTTACCTCCTACATTAAAAAATAGAAATAATGTTATTTTATAGCAGATTGTATCCAAAGATGAGATGAAAAGAGTTAATTATTTTATCTTACCCCCAATTCCACTTCTTTCCCAAGCAAATCATACAATTTTGCGCCTTTACTAGTTATTTGGGAAACAAGATTGCGGACTTGTTTTAATTCGTGAATCTAGAAAAGAAACATTATCTCAACCAAATTAACTTCAACACTGATTTCACAAAAATTTTGACAAAAATACCTTGCTGGCAATACTATTGGCAGCTGCCTTGGCTGACATTGCTCGTTCTTCACTATCTTGTTGCTCAGAAGCATTTGATAACAATGTAGAATACAGCAATGATGTTGCCTTCAACATTTCACGCACTGCATATCCATCAGCTTGGTACAGGCGTTTCGTATTCATTTTAACATTTGCCTTTACCGCCTATGGGACACAAAAGTCAGTGTTACTAATTTTATGTCTGCGAATGCCAAGTGCAAAAATGACCTAGAGCAAAACATGTTTACCATGAACTGAGCAACTGATCGAATAAGTATAACTCTATCAGTCTCGGTACCAAATTCAGAGGGAATATCAGCATCAGGATCGAACCTCTGAACAAGCCATACTAAAATTTCAGCAACCAATGGAAAATTTGGGTTGCGAAAATTTTCCATTGAAATGAGACGGTTGTAGCCGAGTGCTCTCATCATCTCAGTAAAACCTGCAAACAATAAACAATTAAAATTACAGCAACGAGAGGCAAAATCCGAGAGACAATAATGCAAAGGAATTGCATACATTAAATTCAGTACTCACTTCGTAGATCACGATAAGACATTGTGCTTAAAATAAATGATATACTGCAACTTCATTAGCAAATATCCATTTGAACAGGTGAGAAATGTAAATCCACCCTCCTCCTCGTCATCAAACGTCAAAGAGCACAACCACCTGCAGTGTTTGCTTGTGTTGTGGTAAGAGCGTTGCTAGGCAACGAGTAGTCACGGCGATTTCTCATACGCCGTAAAGATGAGAACTTTAGCGGTGCGTAGTAGTGTAAGGGCAGTGCCCGTTGGGTGGCCTACTCTCCCGGCGGATGGCGCGCTGGCGCCGGGGCTGGCGCTGGCGGTCCGCTCCGAGCGCTAATCCCAATACCGGACGCGTTTCACCCGGCCAGGCCTAGCAACCCAGCGAAAGTGTTCAAATCCCTGCAGCGGAGCAGCAACAACACTGGAAACACGCGTGGGATCCGCCGCGAACCGCGAACGCTTGAAAGTGGTACCTCTACCTCGCAAGTGTGAACGGAAGGAGGCAACTTCGCTGCTCAGGTAGAAAGGTCGAACGTAAACAAACCAGTTGCGCTGCGATTCGAAAATTTCAAGCTCTCTCCCTTCGTCATCGCTGGTCATCGCCACCGGTTCAACGGCCCTGTTCGATTCGCACGATTGGCATCTGTGATGACCCGATGAGGCCCGTGGCCCAGGCCCGAGGCTCGCGAGGCGTTGTGGCCGATGGTGCTTCCGGGCAGCAGCCAATCGGTCACGTGGACGAACAGCAGACCCGCAGGAGGGCGGGACCCTCGCCGGGATGGGCCTGGTGCCCGTGCCTGCCCTGCCCGGTCTGGTGGGCATGGGCAATTCGGCCCATCGGCCCTCGTGTCTTCCGGCACGGCGGGACGCGATGGGACGGGACGGGACGGGGCCAGCAACGACTTTAGAGCGGCAAGCGGCATAGTGCTGACCCATCCTCACCTCACAGCAGGCCCCGCCGACCCGGCCGACCGGCCGACGCGATGGCCTGACCATTTCCGCCAGCGCGCCTCGGTACCCGGTACCCGTTCCTGCCATAGCGCACCGCCACACTGGGGACTGGGGCGCGGGCCGCGGGGGTGGCTGGAGGAGGCGAAGCGGGCCGAGGGGAATGAGGCCACCCCGGGGGACGTGCAGGCCGTGCGGGCCGTGCAGGCCCAGGGGGTGCCTGGCGGGGGCGGAGACGCTCCCGGAGCGGTAGGAAGAGGACCGAAGAGGACCTTGTCCAACCAGTCCGTGGCCGCGAAGGCCCGGCCGAGCACGCCGCGCGCCACCGCGCCATCACCGAGGAGGAGGAAGGAAAGGCAAACGCAGGAGGCGTTCCTTGGTTCCTTTTCGAACGCGGAACTGAACAAGCCTGGCCTCTTTGGCTCTTCGGCGCGCCGACGCCGACCCCGTGTGCATCCGCGTCCACGACACCGGGCCCGTTCCCCGGCCCGACGCAATGCGACGCCGACAGGCCGACGTCCCACGACGGCGTCGCGACAGGCTCCGCGGAGACCGCCGCGCCACCAGAAGGCTGAACCCGCACAGCAGAGCTTTTGTCGCTCCATCTCTCTCTAGCTCTTGAGGCTTTCCGCACGGGTGCGACGGAGTGCATCATTTGTACGACCTCTTTCTATCCGACCTGCCGAAATTCACCCGACCTCCTTCCCGCTGTTATGTTTTTCTCCGACCTCTTTTTGTCCGACCTTACCACCGCCTCAGTCCCCAGCCCCCTCAACACTCGACAAAACAACACATGGTACCCACAACGGAGCCATATAAAATTTGGTTTTAAATAAAACATAAAAATTTGAACCCTACCCCCACGCTCCCAGCCACCGTGGCTCATGGAGATCGAGCGGGAAGGCGGTGTATATGAAGTCAGGCTTGATCGCTTCGCCCTGTTAGCGTGCAGAAAAGAGCAAAGAAACGGCGGGACTCGAACAACCAACCTCGTTGTTATGTGTCAATGCCTCTACGCTCTCGCCTGTCAACGACTATGGGCAGTCGTCGGTTCAGAAGGGTACTTGTTGTAGACCCGGGGTGCGAGAGAGGCAGAGCGACCAAGCTCTGTTCGGCATCGGACTACGGCCCCAGCCCAGCCACACGACGCCGGTTGACGAAGCAAGTGACGAGAGAAAGCGCTGCGGGCAGCGGCAACGCAGGCGTCCCCGGCGTCCCCACCGCGGGGCGAGGCGGCGGACACATCGGCCCCTATCACGTCGATGACGATGTCGATGACGGTGTCGTTGCAGAAACCATCCGATGAGAAAACTGCGGCCAGAATACCGCACTGCTGCAGCACTGCAGCCACGGCAGCCAACCACCGAACGGCACCACCAACGTTATGACACACCGCGCAAGTGTGGGCTAACTGTTCGAACCGGACGGCGTTCTATGGATGGGGTGTTTGGACGTGGGCAAGGGTGGGCGGGGCCGTTGGCCCGCAATGCCCTTTTCATTGGTGTTCGAAAAAACAAACAGACGCTGAAGCAGCCAGCAACCCCACGCGAGACACCGCCCCCGCAGCGCTTCTCCGTTTCGCAAACGCAGTGGCGGTTGATCTGTGCGCGTCGCGGCGCGTCGCGCGGGCAGAACACGCCACCCGCCAGGCCGCCGGGCCGCCAGGTAGGTGGTCTTCGTGCCGCGGAGTGATCGCTCGTCGACGAGGCTGATCGACGCAAGCAGCCCCCCGCCCCGCCCCGCGGCGACCCTTCGGCGCCCTGCGCGGCCGAGAGGACGAGACGACACGCTGCGAGTTGCAGACGGAAGAGCAAAGAGCAGCCCTGGCGGTAATGGTGTCGCAAAGGCGATCCGAGTGGATAGGATCACGACGCGCCAAACGCCCAGTGCTCTTAAGACCCTACTCTTTCATGCTCCACCTCGGAAACGACGTCTCTGCACCACAAGTAGTTTGGGAGCAACGGCCTCGCAATGCTGGTCTGTACGCCGACAGGGCTCTGAAAGTTTTGAACAGGAGACCATGCGTTGCGGTCCATTGCCAGCCTCCATTGTGTCCAAGCCTTCACTCCGCACCGCCTTTGTCGGCGACACTGCCATCCGATTCTCTTTTTCGTCCGCGAAGCGACGCGCGGGAAAGAGAGAGAAACTTTCGGAAAATGCACGGCGCCACGGCGCGCCACGGCGTCTTTGGCACGGCGGCATGCACCCTCCGCCTGGCCGACCCAGTAGACTGATTCCGAGGTTCCTCTGGTCGCTCTGTCTCTCTCGAACCTACACGGTACGCGCCCTTAAGTGCGAGAGAGACAGAGCGACGAAAGCGATTCTCTCGAATCAGTCTCAGCGACCCAGCCAAGCCAGCGTCACGACTCGATCATGTTGGGGATCCTACTCGCTGTTTTCAGGGGTTAGCGCTCGCTTCCCAGAAAGCCTGGCGGCCTGGCGGGCAGCCCGAGCAGCGGCCCGTGTTCCGGAAGTCAGATCGTGCAGGGCAGGCAGGGCAGCAGCCCTCCGCCGTGTTTTCGGATCGGTATCGGTATCGCCGTGCCCGTCGTGCCGCTTCCGCCGATCTTCGGTAAATCATTTGGTCACGCTCGTCCGTGCGGGGCCATATGGCCTGGCCATGGCGGTGCGCGGCCCACATCGCGGCGCCGCGGAGCACCCCGAGCAGGCCGTGCGGGCCGTGCGGGCCGTGCCTCGCTGGCCAGCCAGCCCCTCGGCCTCGATGAAGGGCGGCCGGCGGTACAGTGCGCGCGCCAAGGCGAGGGCATTCAAGCCTTTCAACGACTTACTTTCGTCGGCCGCATGAGAGGGAAAGGGAGCGAGCCGAGCGGCCGCCCGCCCATCCGTGGAGACGCGGCGCGACGCGGAGACTTGAATGCATGAGGCGGCCGAGAGTCCTTCTTTCTGGGTCATCGGTGACCGCCGTCGGCGACCCTAACCCCGCCACTTACGGCAGAGACTGCAGTCTGATTCCAAACTGAGCTCTGTCTCTCTCGCACCCTTAAGGAACGCCCAGTGAGAGCGAGAGAGGCAAAGCGACATGGCCCAGCCCTGCCTGGTGACCATCACGGCGTACTCGGCGTACTGCTGGACCCCGCCGCTGGAGACGGGGCCCCGGTGACGCGACGCACGCCGTCGTCCCCGCAGCAGGCCCTCTCCGTGGCCGTGGTGGCCGTGGCGGCCGTGGCGCCGATCAGAGCCTCCTCGGCCTCCTCGCCGCCAGTAGCCGGATCAGCTGTTTAATGCTACTACCGGTTGCCGCTGCCCCCGCCGCGCCCCGGGCCCCGGCCGCGCCCCCACCCAGGCCGCTAGCCTCCTTTCCACAGTTTCCCTTTCTCTCTCGTGCTCCCTCCCGCCCCCTCTCCTGTCCACGGCGCTACACCGCGCTACACGGCGCTACGGCTGTCGGAGGCCTTCCCCGCGTCTAGCAGCCAAGCAGCCCAGCAGGGCGGCGAGGGAGCGGTAAAGCGTCTTGGAAAACAGCGGCGACGCTTCTTGCACATAACCCTATAGGCGCCTGGCGAGGGGTGGATACGCACCCCTTTTTATTTGTTCGATTCGGCGCAGTGTTAGAGCGCGTGCCTGTGTGTGCGTTAGAAGGGCCCGCCGTGGCGCCGCAAGGACTTGGTCGACTTCGACAGCGCGGGCTGGCGGGGCTGGCGGGGCTGGCGCGGGCGCTACCCCCTCCCTCTCCCTTTCGCTGGCTCTCGCCGGCGACCTCCCCCGCCCCGCCGGCCGCGCCCCCCGCGCGTCTCTCCTCTCTCCTCTCTCTCCCAGCGGCCGGGGCCCCGCGGCCGCGCTCTGCCTCCCGCTCCCCCGGGCCCCTCCCACCACGGGCTGCATCCCCACTCTCCCAACAACAACAAGACGGCTCTCCGCGAGTGAGGGTTTCGGTTTTTGTGTCAATCTTCAGTTGTTGCCGGCTGCCAGTACGACTCGGTGCTCGAACGGGACAGAGAGACACGCGATAGCGCGATAGCCCAGCCAGGCCCTCAAGGCCCTATCCTTGAAGTCCACCGCGTCGAGTCGCGCAGCGTAGCGCCGTGTTCGCGCCGTGTAGCGCCGCGTGGCCTAGGTCTGTGCGTTTGTGGGTGCCTGCCTGCTTGCTTTGGATTTGTGCGGCGAGCAGCCGAGTCCCCGGGCGAAGGGTGTCGAGCGGCAGTTGACATGGTGAGTACCAGCCCGGCCTAGGGCCCCTGGGGCGCCGTGTTTTTCCAGTGTCGCAGCACGCCGCCGGGAAACTCTGCCACACCCCGCGTGCCTGCCTGGCCGTGTCTACGACGGTCTACGACAATCTCGCCTCGCCGTGCGGCCTTCGGGTGCCTCCGGCCGCGCTGCTCGACGCGCAGCTAATTGCAGAGGGAAGCCCAGCCCACTGCGTCCAGAGGATGAGAAATTAAGCGCGCTGCGGGGCTGCGGGGCTGCGGGGCTGCGGGGCTGCACGACGTCGGGCCACGGCGCGGTCAAGCCGCCAGGCGGTGGGCAGGCCGTCAAGTAGTTGAGGCAGTTACCCCGTCCAGGGCCTGGAAAAGGGGTCAGCGTATCAGCCCGGCCCTGCCCTGCCCTGCCCTGCCCTGCCCTGCCCGGCCCTGCCGCGCCACCGCGGGTCCATCCAGACGGCCACCAGACGCCCCGAACGGTTGGGAAACCGGTACTTGCACCGCCACCTCCGCGGAGGCACCGCGTGGTACCTGCTACTGCCAGGGCAAACGAGGCTGTAATAATGATTGGGCTATAATAAGGGGAGTGTGTGAGTGTGCGTGTCAGTGTGGTGGGGGGGGGAGGGGGGCACGCAGGCCGCGGCACCTTGTTGCGCCCGACGGAGAGTGCGCGTTTGACTTTTACATGTGTTGTGGTTTGTGTTCGAGTCGTTTCAAAGGTTTCGCCCCCCCTTGCAAGCAATGCGTGCGGGGTGGGGTGGGGTGGGGTGGGTGCGCTCTACATCGTGGTCCCGGCCGTGGCGTACTGCCCGCTTCCTGCATTTTACAACTTCCCTGCCCGCGCCGCCGCGCCGCCGCACTGCAGTGTGATGCGATGCCGTCCGTGGTGCGGTGCGGCCAAGCCAGGCCAAGCATCATCCATGCGGCCGTGCGTCGCGCCGGTCCGTCAGTCCGGGGAGTGGCCGCCCACAGTGTTAGCGGTCCTATAGTGTGTCGGCATGAAATATGTGATTCGATTCGCGCACTTTGACCCGCCCCGCCGTGCTAGGGTTTCAACAGGGGCTACACTGCACTGCAGCTGGAGCGCGCCCAGCCCCGCGCTCGAGTCTCCAGCCCGCTCCAGCCCGCTCCAGCCCGCTCCAGCCACACGATATGCACTCAAGGCCGGCCGGTCCACGCCGCTCCAGCCCGAGTCCCGGGCGGCTCCAGGCGACTCCAGGCGGCTCCAGGGGACCAGTACGGCCCCGGCCTGGCCGTAGGCTGCCGTAGGCTGGGCCCAGCCAATGGACACTTGGTCAGGGCAGGCCGGCGCGGCCAGCGGCCAATCAGATCACAATGGACTCGGTGGACGCCGTCAGCCCGCTGGAGGCGGGCAGGGGCGGCTGGAGGCTAGAAGCGTGCTGGAGAAACGTTCCAAATGGATAGATGGCTAGGCCGCCTCGCCTAGCCTCGCCGCGGGGCTGCTTGGCTGGGTGGATCAACGCGCGCGACTCACAACCCGTAAATCTGAGACCGTGCCAAGTGTCCGAGGTGCGTGCGGTCGCGCGTGGGCGAGCTCGTAAAACAGACGACGGAAGCTTTTCGATTCGCCCGCGGCAGTGGAGTGGAGTCAGAAGTTGGCTTCACCACGGTGACGGCATGACGGCCAGGTCCGATTGTTGCGAGCGTTGGAGCCAGGGCCAGACTACCTGCAGTACCTGCCGCATTCTTTATGATGTGGTCGCAATGTGCATGGGTACCAGCGTGGTGCCGCGTGGTACCAATACAGACCAATACAGACTGATTGGCTGAAACGGCGTGTTTGGCAACACTGCGGGCATGGAGAACGAGTGCAGTGTGTAGGCGGGACAGGGCGTGGCACAGACAACACACACACGCACGCTGGTGCGCACACTGGTGCGGCCGCGCGGCCGAGTTGCAAGGTCCGGTTATACTTTCAGCCGCCGACTACACGTCCAAAATTGAGGCATATCTCTCGTCTCTTTCGTTTTGAAATCCTCTTTCGCATCGCCATCTTGCCACCAAAATTTCCATACGGTATCAACCCTCATCTAAATGCGATTCCGGAGTCAATCCACGCCGTGTGTGCATGTCTGGTGGTCCGGTGGTCCGTCGCTGTTCATCTGTCTGCCTGCCTGTCTGTCTGTCTGTCTGTCTGTCTGTCTGTCTGTCTGTCTGTCTGTCTGTGTGCGTGTCTGCGCGTTGAACTTTGGCCGGGTTGCTGGGCGGGCGCGGCCCCACGCCTTTAAGATAAAGGGAACCACGCGAGCTTCATCTGGATTCAGGTTGAGCTGAGCTAGAGCCCCCCCCCCTTTCCCCCGCGCCAGGACGTGGACGTGACTGGCGAGCAGGGGGTGGCCGCGACGCGACGCCACTCCACTCCACGCCACTCCCGCTGGCAATACATTGGCTATTTTACCGAGTCAGAAAGTGTGACTGTGACAGGTGGTGGCATTTGAAATAAACGGCCGAGCTGACCGCGCCTGGAATCCGAATCGGTGCCGAGCGCGTGGGAGCGCGGTGCGCGGCTAGCAGCCACCACAACGGCCAGGACGGCGGGGTGCTCACCACTGGCCCCGAACTGTCCACTGTCCGCAGCCTCCACCCGATTCTGCGATCCTGCCACGTTTTCCGCCCCCGTTTTCCCATCCCCGGCCCTGTGCCCTGCCCCTGCATGCCCTGCATGCCCTGCACGTGAGCCGGGCGGCTAATCTCCGGCAGCCGGTCGACCGGCCTCTGGAGTGTGGTGTCCCGGCCGGCCCATGCTATAAGGTCCGGTCCGGTTCCAGAATCCAGGCTAGCACGTGCGTCCGCGATCGTCGGCTGTGAGTTCAGCAGCTTTCATGATTCAGGTAGCCCAGTTTTTTTTTTCGTTTTCGGTCTTCTAGGTTTGACTACTTTTGCCTCCGGTTTCTCTCACGAAACAATACCGTCACTGAGCCGCGTCTCTGCAGCGACCGCGGTTTGCCTGAAAACCACCGGTCCGGTCACCGAACAAGTCAAGCCGCAAAGGAGGGGGGGGGGCAGGTGTGTTAAGGTGTGGGCCATTTCTCTAGCTACCGTAGAATTAGATAATCCGTTACGCCACCGGATTGTTCAAACTTTTTCTGGTCACACCGCATGGCCCACATCAACCCGCAACGAGTCAGTTCGCCCTCTGTTCCAGGTAACTTTGCAAACAATTCCTCGCATAAAACGACATTGACGATTGCAGTCAATAGGCGCGATTTGCGGTGGGTCGGGTCGGGTCGGAGGTTGAGCAATTTATACCCAGAAGCGCATTGTGGTTCGCGAGGCGGGGCGGGGCGGGGCGGGGCGGGGCGGCCGCGAGGTCGCGCACGCCTCGGCCGCGGGTCGCGGCGGCACGGCCCGCGGCACGGCCCATGGCGTGGCGGCAGCGCGGTGGCGGTCATCGAGCCTGCCAGGAATACCAAACGAGGAGGTGAAACCATTTCGGAAACCGCGCAGGAGCGGCGCTGAGGGAGGGGGCTTGGATCGCCTCACAATATTATTACAGCCAACCTGTACCTATAGAAAATAGGATATTGTCTCTTGTTTCAGAAAGTTTGGACCGAAGTATTTTCCTGCATCCCGCCTGTTTATGTCGATATCGAGTCCTGACCAGCATAAAGGAGTGCCTGCTTCTAGTCTCCTGCCGATTTTTTGATTTGATTTGTTTTGTCACGGCTGCCGGATCCGCGTGGAGCCAGCCGCACCGCCATTTCCCGCAGTCACAATCGATATTCATACATTGTAATGTTTCGAAAGTGGCCGCCTTGCCGCGCGCGGCCGCGCGCCACTCGGCGGGGCTCGGCTCGCGGCATGCCACACTGCAAGCGCCGTGTTGTAATGCACGCCGATTGCCTGGAGGCGCGGCACGCGGCAGCACGCCAGTCTGTGCTGCGCGGTGCTGCGCCGCTCAAACACCCTCATTATCGCCGTGTTTTCGGCTGCTTGCCCACCGAGAGGGAAACGGACTCTGCAAACATTACCATCATTTCTTTTGGAAAGGAATAAAAATGAATCTTCGGCGCGAGAGTTGAACTTGGAGCCCTGAGCCCCGCGTGTGCGCCTCCGTTTAGTGCTGGGTCCTTGCCCCCGGTACACCGCCATGGCGGCGTGGGGCGTGGCACGAAAGAAAGCCAGCGTGTCGCATTGCCGTGTCACGTGACAAAAAGGTGGTCAGTGTTTCACCGGACACGCCGGCCTGGCCGAGGGCCCGACTGCAACGCGCACTGCAGCTCTCAAATGTCGCGAGTGAGAGGGATGCCTTTCTTCGGCCTGAACAGCGGCGACTCTGTGACTGAGCAGGGCCTGCGCCGCCTGCTTGGGGAGTGCTGAGCCATGGCGCCTGCGCGGTAGGCAGCCCGTCCGCAGCCCTGCTCGACGGGACAGTCAGAAGGACGGCGCTCGTCCTGGCGGTAACTTCCGACCCCATTTGGTCTTCTTCATCTACCAAACTTGTTTTTGTTGAAGTTTTTTTTTCATCTTTCTGGAGCTTACTACATGCCACGGCATGGGAGGTGTCCGTCGAGAACACGTTACGCAACGACGCAGCACGCCAGGACCCTTCGCCACCGTGGAAACTGTCCAGCGGACAGTAGTAAGGGCCTCCATTCGAACACGCCGCCATTTTATCCCCCACTACTGTAAACACTGTCTTGCGAGCACTGTCCAGTGCTTGGTCCAGCAGACAGTAGTAAGGGACCCCCATTCGAACGCGCAGCCATTTTAGCCCCTCACAACTGTAAACACCGCCTTCTCCTTGTGAACACTGTCCAATGCGTGGTCCGGTGGGCAGTAGTAAGGGTCGTTTATTCGAACACGCTGCCATATTGGCTGCTTACTACTGAAAACACCGCATCTCGGGCACAGTCCAGAAGACAGTAGTAGTAAGGAACCCCCATTCTTACAAGCCGCCATTTTGACCCCTCACCACTGTGGACAGCGCGTCCCAAGTCGCAGTGTCTCGGAGGATGGCGCTGCCGTGCTCGCGGAGAGGCCCTAGGC